AGCTGGTCTGAGTTCATTCATTCATCCATCCATCCATCACCTGTGCACTTAGGCTCCTCTGTCAAACATCTGTGAAGTCCAAAGCAGCATCATAGAGGGCTTGAACAACCTCAGCTTTGTGAAGGACAACGCTCCCAGGCTCATGGAACGGAAAGTGAGCTTCGAGAAGCTGAAGAAGATATCGGTGGGTAGATGGGAAGCGGAGCGGGGCCGCGGCACTCCGGAACATTCTTGGGGGAGATTAGCGCCGAGCCTAGCTGTGGGTTCGCTGATTGATTACTGTGGGAGGCGCAGTGCCCCTGGTGTCTCCAGTGCGCTCATATTAGATTCTCCCCACTTAGCTTCTGCCTTATTTAATGGGACAAATTAAAACTCAATTAATGTGTGCCTGCTGAAGATGTCGCCCGCGTCAGCCGCCGCTGGTCGAGCTGGAGCCTGATTTTCTAGATATCACTCCCTCAGGACCAATGGTGCGTGGGAGGGGTGGTTACTAACGACCAATCAGCTCCTCCCCTGGGAGCGACAGCCCCCTCCTCCTCTGGGGCTCATTAGCTGTAACCCTGAACTGCCCTCGCCCCCCCCCCCCTCCCCAGCCTCCGGAGGTGGCCAGGCAGACAGAGGTCCACCGCACCGGGCTGCTGGCCTCCTACCCCCTGGACCGCATGTACCAGCTGAAACGTAACTGCAACGCGTGTCAGCAGCAGGACGTCAGCTTGCTGGAGGGTGAGCTGGTGGCCCTGTTGGAGGACCAGGACCCCCTGGGCAGCAGCAGCCGCTGGCTGGTCGACACGGGCGGTGAGTAGGATCTCCATCTCAAACGCCTGGAGCCCGGATGGGTGGGTGGAGCCAGAACAAAGCCTACATTTTGCACAACGTGGTGTAACCCTCGCTCACAGAATAGCAGGAAGTTGTCCCTGTTGTTAAACTGAACTTGCGGCTCCAATTACATTTAAGTTACTAAATTAGCGGAGACTTTTATCCAAAGCGTCATACAGTTGAGAAAGCAGTCAGCCAGTCCCTGAAGCAGATGGGGGGGTTGAGGGCCTTGCCTTTGCTCAACGACCCAATGTTGAAATTGTCCTGCAGACCCTGGGACTTGGACCCAGCAGCCTTCCGATCTCAGGAACAGCATCCCAACCGGTTGAGCCACACATCGTGCCCCCAGTTAAGGTTCCTTAATGTTCCTCGTCATAGGAAAGACATCATGTGACATCATGGTAATTTAGCGAGTAGGTTAGTCTGCTGCAGGCATGAATCGGGCCCCCGGCTGCCTTGTTAATAAAGGGGCCGCAGGCTGGCAGATCATCCGGGACAAACGACCGTGCTACACCCATCGGTCTACTAGTGATGCATGTTCAGGTTCCCGGTGACATCAATTGTTGCATAACACCCCCCCCCCCATCCCCACACTCTCCCGGGGAGGAACTTGGAAAACAACATCAGCAGCAGCAATAACAAGAGCACCCATCTCCTGTGGGAATAGCAGCAGCATGACGGGGCTGCGTCACATCACCGGGGCTCCTTTTATGGATGTGGAGGTCACGCCCCCTTCTAAAGAACCGGGAACTGCAGCCGTTGTCCGTATGTCCTGATCAGCGTGTGTGTCGGTGAGCTGAACGCTGTGTCAGTAGTTTGTCAGGTCACCGCTATGTCGTCAGCATTTCCCGTATATATTCAGCCATGGCCTGGTGTGTCGAGTCGCTCTCTGGACCTAACCGTGTACTGCATGGACAGAAGCCAAATCCCCCCCCCCCCCCCCGCCACGTGCCAAACACCTCGTTTTTGCGAGAACCTCGACCTTGACGGAATAGGGCACCTGCTACAAGAGCGCAACCCAAACGACCTTGAGGAGTGGAAACGCAGCAACTGCCTGAACGATCTAGAAGTGAGACTGCAGCGGAACGACTCAAATAAACAAATGATGTAATGTGGTGGTGGGGGTGGAGTGGGGAGATGAGTTTTATGGTTGACTGGGATGTGTGGCCTCTTCCCTGTTTCCCGGCTTGCAAGCTACACAAAGCGGCTTTTCATATCCGCCCCTCCCCCACCCCCAACAAGTCGTCCTTTGTACTTTGCCACAGGTGCACAGGGCTACGTGTACTCAACCTTTCTGAAACCTTACAACCCCACGAAGGACCGGCCCGGGGTACGGCCCGAGGCCTCCGACGACTTCGACAACATCAGCCTATTCGTGTCTGGCGGCGCCGGTGGTAGCCGCACCAGCATCAGCGGCAGCGTCAGCACGGGAAGCCTGCGTGGATTCTGCCTCGATACTGTCGATGGCGCTCCTACCTCTGATGGCCTGCAGGGGGAGCCAGAGGCCCCAGAAGACGAAAATGCCGACGACCAACAGGTGAGGGAATTATGTGGGGCCACAGTCCTCAGGCTCTGAGACCTCAGGAAAAATGCCTGCTGTCTCTCCCTAATCTGTCCCAGATGTATTTATATCAATTTTACCAGCTATCATCGCTATCATCTTTTTTTTTTAAGTACACCTTTTTAGAGAAGACATTTCAGGTGTGAGAACACGTTCAGCCTCTTGAAACAGTGCCATCTAGTGACAAAAGGTTGCTGTTGCAATAGCACCATTGTGTGGCGTGCTGATCAGAGGGGTATTTCCTGGTCTGTGTGTGCAGAATGCCAGATTAGAAGCCATTATCACTGCTACCAGGAGAGCAGTGCAGGGGAATTCTATTATTAGTGACATTTAGTGCTTGTAAATTAAATGGGAAATTGAAAAACATAGCTCCTAATCTGGAGACCGGGTATTTATTGCCAAAGTAGCCTGCAGCAATAGGTTATGGGTTCAAAGCTAAGGCTGGGCCTCATTTGTACCATAAAAATGAGACACGCAACACAAGGAACTTCAGCGAAAGATTCAGCATCGCTTGCAAATGAAGTGTCAATGCTGGGACAATCCAGGAGTCAAATTAGCATCAAAACAAAATCAATACGTAATCAGATTATCAGATTTACATGTGGAACCCCACGTGAGGTTTCGCCACTGTTTAAATGATGACTTCAGTTAGGAGACGAAGCCAGCCTCCCCCAGAATAACCTAGGCGTGCCTCTGACGCCCCCTGCCTGTGTGTCTCTTGTGTCGCAGTTTTACGCCGTGTACGCCTTCCAGGCGCGCTGCTCGCAGGAACTCACCCTGCGGGAGTCCCAGCACGTGCGGATCCTGCGCTTCTGCGACCTGGGCGGCAATAGGGAGTGGTGGCTGGCCGAGGCTGAGGGCCAGCAGGGATATGTCCCAGCCAACTACCTGGGCAAGATGTCCTATGCCTAGCGCAGGCTCCGGAGAATGAACCGCGGCCAGTGGCATTTAGAGGCCAGCAGGGGGCGTGGTGGTTAAAGGTCTGCCGAAGGAACTCTGCTGCTCTGCCCCCAAGTGAAGTACATTACCTGAATCGTTCAGGTAAATTATCACCTACAAAAATGGTTAAAGTATGAAACTGAAGTGTGAATCACTGTGAAAAACAATATTATCCATAACTTGACCCTGTACCCAATAACTGATTATGGAAGGGGGATGAATGGATGTATGTGTAATCCTCCTATAAATGATGGTCACCCAGGACTTCGTATTTAACACCTGCAGTGTTTCATTGATTATAATGAATGTCACAAATGTCTATAAAAAAATATGAAGTAGATGTACAGCAGATGTATTTTATCAGAGTTAATATTCATATTAATTATTAGAGGATTTAAATTTATACAGAGATAAATGTGTCTATATCCCGACAGCGTGTATATTTTATAAAAGGTTTTATGCAGTGATGAATAAAGATATATTATGGACCGAAAGTGTGAACGAGAGGCTGATGGCGTGTGTGGAAACATTCTGGATTTTTCTAATTGCCATCTACTGAACGGCTGCTATGGTGTGGTGCACGGCAAAGTGTCCCGTTAACCCATCAGAGACAAAGTGGGAAGAATTTCCCTAAAGACATTTAGGAAGAACAGTCCAGTGTACCCTTCAGGGACAAAACACGCCCATCCCAGACTACGCCATGATTAGTAAAAAATATTGTCATTTCTATATTTAATCAACATGGAAATTCTTTAGTGTCTCCCCCCCAGATTACTGATAAACAATAAAAATACTTTTTTGACAATCAGATGAGGAATGTATTTCACCAAGTCAAATATAAGAAGACACAAAGGTTTTGTTTGGGGTTAACAAATGCTACCAGCTAAAGAACAGGGTCTGGAAAATCAGTGTTTCTCTTTTATTACATAAAACTAAATCCTATCAAAGTCAAGCAAATAGAAACATTATGGACACAGCACCTTTTGCACTGGACCTGACACGGGTCGAACCCGTGCACAGATCGATCGTGATGAATTCCGTCGGTTCGGGCACACTTTGAGGGAGGGGGGATGCCTCGTGGCCTCTGGAGGGCAAAGCCACGGGTGATCTTGGAGATGACGGGCCCGGTCCAGGCTGTCTGGAGAAGGGGGTGGGGTCCTTCAGAGCGAAGGAGGCGGCTGCGGACCTGCCAGACAGGGAGGTGGACACGGGCGCCCGGCTCGGTCACAGTCTCTGGTGCTCGGTGAACTGTTGAAGGGGTGGGGAGGGGGTGGGTGAGGAGAAAGATAAGGATGGATTACACTGAAGGCAAATCTCTACCAGACGAAGCACAGCAGCTGCCCCCTGGTGGCAGATAAGCAGCACGGCCCTAAGGCCACTTTGGACTAGGCCTCGGGCCATCGATAATCCTGGACCAGACCCGGTTCAGAGAGCACGCCGGCTCCATCACAAGCCGCATGTGTCGATCGAAATCACCCGCAGGCAGACAGGCCTGGACTCCCATCTCCATTCCCAGCCGAGCTCCTTTACCAAAAGCAACACATGCTGGGGAACCTCCTTTGTGCACATCGGGTTCTTAAAAAAAAAAAAAACCGGGATCCGGAACCCAGCAGGACTGTGACTGACGTTACCTTCGTCTCCTCTACTGCTACCGCCTGTTAGTAAGAAGAGCCACAGCAAAACCCGGCCCCCTAAATGAGTGCGTTCTCTGTGGAGCTGTGTGCATCACTTTGGACATCCCACTTAAAAACCAAAACATCTAAGGAAAAACGCTAAGGCTGAAAAAGAATTCCTTCTCTGTGTCTTAATGGTTCTCTCCTTCTGAAGTCAGCATTTTAGATGGAAGTCACTTACCTGACGGCCTTTATAAAGAAATAAGGTACAGTACACTGTTTAAGGTACAGTACACTGTTTAAGGTACAGTACACTGTTTAAGGTACAGTACACTGTTTAAGGTACAGTACACCTCCTGGCTCTGCCAGGTTTCTGTGTGCCCTTCTTCGCCCGCATTTGTGCGACTATGTTTGCAAACAGTCATGTGTAGTGTTACGCGCACCCGGGACACTGAAGGGGGCGCTCCGTTCTCATTGAAAGCAGCTTGCCTCTGCTGTCCTCGTCACACTGAGACAAGGTGTCCTCCGCCCTGCTCGGAACCCCCCGAAATGAGCGGCAGTCGCGTTCTTACAGAGCCTTAAAAAAAAAAGGTGGCGGTTGAAACGTTTAGCGCAAAGGATTGCAGAGGAATCCCTTTGCTGTGGTCGGAGCAGAGAGTCAGATGCCGTATTTTAGAACACTCCCAGTATCAAGGCGGGGGAGGGAGGGGACACACATAGAAACGTCATTCAATTGTTAAAAAGATGAAATTTATTTAACTTTCGAGAAGAAGGGGGAAAAAACATTTTATTTCCTAAAACAGAAGAGGAGAGCGTACAAAGCTGCCTTCAAGGGAGCGGATTCTTTTGGACAGAATGGGACACGGGGCGGCCTGGGGGGAGAGCAGCATTCAGACGGATTCAAGTATCAAATGGACCGGAGTTCTGCCGTCGTCATGGTCACCGATTTACATAGCGACGGGCGCCGGGGCGACATCATCTTTTGATCTTTCTCTGTGCCGCTTTCTTTTTGACCATCTGAAGGCGTTTCATGGCATTGACCTGGGACTCCTGGGAGGTGGGCGCCTTGCCCCCCGCCTGGGACTCCGTGGTCACCTTCGGCCCGCTGCCCCCGGCCCCCCCGCTCCCGGCGGCCTCGCCGGTTGGGGCGGCACTGCTGGAGCCCAGCGAGCCCACCTTGTTGCTTTCGGTGACAGACCCGCGGGTCAGGCCTGGCTTCCCCAGTGTCAGGGGCGGCGGGGGCTTCAGGGGGGTCGCAGAGGAGCCGTTGCCACCACCCGCCATTTTGGCGCCAAGGCCCGACTTGGCTCCGGCCAGGCTGGAGAGCCCCACTGGCTTCTGGCCCGAGGAGGCCGCCTTGCCGCTGCCACTCTGTGCTGACGAGCCCAGCTTGGATCCGCCAGGACCCGCTTTGGCCCCGAAGGCGGCCCACCCGCTCAGGCCACTGGCAGCAGGCAGGGAAGTGCTGGTGCTGGAGGGGGCCACGGAAACCACGGCAGAGGCCTGTGGGAGCCAGACAGGACAAAAACGGTCACCTTGTTATCTGGTCAAAATGGTGCAAACTCAAGCCATCCTCCTTAAATGCAGATGGGGCTGATCACCTTGACCTCGGTCCTCTTGAACGCCTGGAAGGTGCTGGCTGTGTCCTGTTTGGGCTTAACGTCTGGCCTTTTCACCAGCGTGTCCTTCACCACTGGGGCTGCGGACGCGATGGCCGGGGCTGGTTTCTGAGGAGGCTTCTGGGTCTTCTGGGCCTGAACAGGAAGGAGAGAAGGAAGTAAGTAAGTAAATAAATAAATAGACAAACGAATGAACAAACAAACCAACAAATAACATCGACAATCCTGGACCAGACCCGGTTCAAAGAGCACACCGGCTCCATCACAAGCCGCATGTGTCGATCGAAATCACCCGCAGGCAGACAGGCCTGAACTCCCATCTCCATCCCAGCCGAGCTCCTTTACCAAAAGCAACACATGCTGGGGAACCTCCTTTGTGCACTTCGGGTTCTTAAGAAAAAAAGAAAAACGGGCTCCGAAACCCAGCAGGACTGTGACTGACATTACCTTTGTCTCCTCTATTAGACAAACGAATGAACAAACAAACCAACAAATAAAACAGAAAATGCAATGTGGACGGTCAGCACAGCAGACCGTCACCTTACACTTCTATTTCCACTATCTGAAAAGAAATCCTATGCACCAAACCATCGAACCCAATTCCTCGGAAGAGAGAGGAAAGGAGAGAAAAGTGACGACAGAGCAGCAAGCGAATGAGCAGCACGGTGGCGGAAGAGGACCTACCATGCGCTTCATCTGCCGGGTGCAGCGGGCACAGTACCACACCAAGCGCGGGTCGTTGACATCCTTGTCTGTCACCTGTGGTTTGTGGCAGTCCTGGTGATAGAGATTGTGGCACTCCTGACACTCGACGAGCTGGTTTCCAGAGGTGACCGTCATCTGCCTGGAGAAAGAGCGGACGGTTTTATAGGAACCTAACTTGCATATCCTGGGTATCCACGCCACTTTTAGAGATACACACCTGCACACCACGCAGGCCAGACCCATCTCCATGGCGAAGTCGTCTGCGCTGGTCTCGTCGAAGCTAGACAGGTCCGGCACAGGCAGGTCCTTGCTAGTCTGTACCGTGACAGGGGATGCGCGGTTCTCCACCCTCTCTAGACGGGGTTTCTTTGGGGGGTCTGCAGTGTCAATGAGGTCCACCTTCATCTAAAATGAAAGCGAGACACACAGCCGCCCAGTGATTCACTGACAGTAGCATTACATTATTATGCATCTCAGCAGATATAAGCCATATAGCAGCACTATGGAAAGAGTCTTAGACTGCCCCAGTCCCCCCTCTGAAGCATATACCTTCTCTGATGCTCTTTTTTCACTCTCTTTTTTGCTCTTCTCTGAGCTGCTGGATTTGCTGCTACTGCCGATTGAGGAGGAGCCAGCGGAGGACGACTTCAAATCCTGCTTGCTCAAGCTCACCTTAGCGACGGACACCTTGGCGATCTCCATATCCTGTTAGTGTGAGAATAGCGGTCGAATCCCAGTGAGTCCGATTATATGTCAACCAGCAATGTTACAAAGGTCAGCGGAAATGGTGCAGCGACGGTGGGCTTAATATCGAGAGCGTACTTTCTGTGAGATCCTATAGCTGCTGTCACTTCCTCTTGCCAAGGACTCGTCCAGTAGAGCCTTGAGTTTCTCCGCTGAATCCTTGCTTTTCGAATGTAGGTATCCCAGACCTTTCAGGAAGATCGGGTCCAGCTCCAGGTTTACAGTGGCGGCCATGATCCCCGTCAGCTGTCACGCGAAACACGGGGTCTTATTCCTCATCAAATACCATATGACACCATAAAAATATCACAAATGCATATACTTATAGGTTATTATCAGCAAGAAAACAACTTGTAAAATGAACCAAAAAGATGTGCATCCAGGAAACAAAAGGTTTTAGCACTCATTTCCACGAGAATGAAATTATAAGGAAACTCAAATATTTTCCGCTACTCTAGTTCGTCTATACAGCATATAGGATTAACTCATTGTTCTCAACATTATAAACATAACATTTATTAGTATATCCAAGCTTGCAATATGGGAAAAAAACTAACAGCCAGACAGTACCGAGACAACTCCATTTTAATCGCTAACAAACGCACAAATATGGTGAATTCTCACCCTCGATCAGCATAGGATAAAAATGTATTCAAAAATCGACCCACGCCCTCCTTCCGAGTATTTTAATTAATGTTACATTAGACAGCTTTCTCTGTATTTTCCGCAGCATTACATCTGCAGGAACTCATTTAGAAACCGAGAAAGCTACCAGTGACGCTCCGCAGTCCCAACGTTAAATCCGTCCGCAGAGACAACCTTACCGATACTTTTTAAAAGACAGTAATGCTGTTATGTGACATAAAACAATTTTATTAAAATTAAATGTAAATCATTAATTCAAAATATAATAACTGACAGTTTTCTTTTTCTTTTCTTAGAGATTTAATATAGTGAAATGTTGTGCCTGCTGATACGTGGTTTTGTGGACAGACGAGCGGCTTTCGTTGTGACACCAGGAAGTTCTGTAGGACCGGCGTGAGTGTTTTGAAATTGCAGCGAGAGGTACTTCGGCATTGTGAGTGTAAGTCGTATGAATAACCTTTCTGAAATGACACATTTAAACCAGAGTTGCCAACTTTGGACAGCTGGCTAGCGTGAGATTTTCAGTTCGAGACAAGTTTGCACACGCATTTACATATATGTAAGAGTTTTATTACCTTGCAAATAGTCAATAGGGTTTGCAAACTACCCCAATGCTTTCGATATAGCTAATCTCAGGTTTATAATGGAATAATATAGATTTGCTGTAAGATTTCATGCGTGAGCGTGAATGTTACGCCAGATTGGTGAGAGTTGGCAGCCTTGATTTAAATGCAGTTTCTGGATAACAGGTTGATATCGATCAAACCACCCCACGCAATCTTCTAAATTTTGTGCTACTTTTAATTTATTTACGTCACGCTATAAACTTTAGATACGAGTTAAATGATTCAGTGGTGGTTCTTTTAAGTTATATTATGACTGTCAGTTAGAGGAGTGCCTTTACACAGAATTTACTAACCTGGTGCAGAATTATTAATTAGTTGTTTGATTTCAGTATGTATTTAAGTGAGCTTTCTTGTCCTGTTAATAAAGATTAGCCTACTGGCCTGGTTAGAGACCACCCTGTCCTGACGACACCACGATGCACCATGCGGGTGAAAAGCAGGAGCACCAGTGTCTCTTCCTGGAAGTGACCGGCCGCAGCGAAGAGTCCGTCCTCCCTCTGCACTCTTCCATCGTGTTGTTCCTTCTTTCCTACTGCGAGTGCACGTCCTTCCGTCTGTTCCTGGTGGCGGACGACGGACAGTCATGGAGCGGGCATGTCCCGGCTGGCTTGGGCGCCGTAGAAATCCAACGGGAGCAGATGCCGCCACTGGTTAGGAGCTGCCGGTTGCCTGCCGTGCTGGATGCGGACGGCGGCTTCTGTCGGACCGGCTTGGCCGTGGTGCTGAGACACATCCTGCACCGGGTGTGTGAGGAGGAGCCCCTCCGGAGGGACATGCAGGCGCTGCTCGGGTTCAAGAAAACCTGCCTCAAAGCCTGCGCCGAGGTACGGAGCCGCCAGGGATAACCTGGTGCGTTGATTAATATCGGATGTGCCTTTAGTAGAGGGTTAAACTAGAAGGAAACCCAGCGGAATATTTTGATGATACTTTTTATTGTGTTAAAAACTGCGTAAATGAAATTCACTTTTTTTATGCCGTGTCCTTTTCCATAATGCTATCATATATAAACGGACTAGAAGTTCTTTCTATGAGTGGTAGTCTTACTCATTTTTACTGACAGCAGTTACATTTAGTTACCGATCAACAAGCAGAAGTCTGGGAGCAGTCCCGGTTCAGTTCCATGGTAAAGAGTAAGGCAGCTGGGTCCCTCCTGAGATTTTAGCTTTCACCACTGGGGGCACCAGGAGGCAGCGTGGCAATTAAGGGCAGGGATTTGTACTTGGAAGGGATGCTGTTGTACTCTAAGAATTTCTCCAAAGATATATACAGCTGTATGACGGGGTAAAGCTCTGTGAACAGCTTCGGAGAGACGAGCAGTTCAAGAAGCTGAATGTCATGCAATTATTATTTTTTTTTTTTTGTATAATTTGTGAGACGCTTAAACACCACTCAGAATCCTGGAGAAGCAGGTTAATTTTCAGATCCTTGCACAGGAAGTGACATGAGCTGATATTCTGTCACTCTGCTGCCCCCTGCAGGTGAGCCAGTGGACACGGCTGTGTGAGCTCAGCATCCCTTCCGCCGTGGAGGAGTTCCTCCACTCTCCGGATGGGCGAGACTCCCCAGTGCCTGCTGCCGTCCTGCACCTGGAGCGGAAGCTGGGTGAGCCCGTCAAGGTGCACAACGACGACAAGATTCGGCGGCAGAAGCTGCAGCTGCAGCAGGAGGAGGAAGCGGGCCCTCAGGAGGCCTCTGCATCCGGGCCCCTTCCCAGCCAGGGGTCTGACGGACTGGAGCTCAGGGCCGCTTTGGCCAAACTGTCGGTGGACGCAGTTCAGACTCCAGCCACCAGGGGGCCCTCTGACATCAGGAAAGTGAAGACCACCAAGCTGCCCTCGCTGGAACACGTGTTTGTGGAGGGCTTGTATTTTACCCTCGCTGACCTCGTTCTCATACCTTGCGCGCACCACTACTTAGTAAGTTTACCGGAATTTTTAACTTGGTGAATTTCAATAATTACAAACAATTTATGAATTTTCCTGTACGCGGAATCCTATGCATATATAATCTCATTAACGATTGCTTTATATTGCACGCCATAAAAATGCACATACTAAAATGTCATTAGCATAATGCCCGAAGCAGTGCAGCATTGCTGTTTTCTAGCAGAAGTACTGCAAGGCTGAAGATAAAACCTTTATTATGACAGTGCGAGAGGACTCCACTTCAGCGGGGCTGTTTATGTGAAAATGAGTATTTCTCAGCATATTCAGATGCGCGAGGCAGGAAGAGTGAGAGATTTGGCAGGTCGTATTTATATGGTTGAGAAGTCGTGTGAAGGCAGACTGTGATTTTTCCCCGGGTATGTCGCCACGCGAGGAATTCTTCTCTGCAGTGGAGACAGGCTGGTGGAGGTTTGGGTGTCGGGGGGGGGGGGGGTTTGGGGGGGGGGGGGGACACCTGAAATATCAGGCCATCCATATCCTGGCCGCTATGATCGCTGAGCCTGGGTGTCGACTAAATGGGAACCTTCCTAACAAACGAGGGAAGTATGTGTAGCAAAATAATCTAAAAGGAAGCATTATTTTATACGATTTTATACTTGGTCCGGCAGTCCTTGGAGCATTTGTGGGTTTACAGCCCACAAGGGCGAAATTACTCGGCTGACTCTGGAATTTGAACCAGTAACCTTCTGATCAACAGGCATAATGTGCTAACCCATTGCACCACCTTTATATATAATCTTAGGCAGAGGTTAAGGCTACTCCTTTTACTTCCAAATTGGGGTCAGTCCTGCCCACCAGGACCCTTATAAAAGGATAATTTGTGCAGGAACAGTTGTGGCAGGTGGCGTCAGCTTGAGAACATCAGTATGTTTTGGGTGACTAATTTATAATTGGATGTTAACATTGATGGGGCGGGACAATTAGGAATAACTGACAGATTTTATGGAGCCGATAAGCAGCTACAGAAATTGTTTCCAGAAATTTAATTCATATTAAATAGCACAAACCAATCAAAGGGATCCAATCGGGCGGCTGGATCTGGCCCGAGGGCTGCTAGTCGACTAGCTTTAGCGTCGGGAGTGAATTTATCGCATGCCGGCTAATTAACTAGCCTCCTCTTGCTATGGGGATTTCAATTTGTGCAAGTTGAGCGAAACTGCAGTTTGTTTTGAGACTGAGCAGGTGCCGCGTCCAGGTTTGTCCCATGAGCTGCCTGCACACTTTGAGTTTGGCTATTAGCAGCACCTGTGTCGGGTTCCTCCTCACGAAGCCTGGTCTCCCTGAGCTCCCAGCCGCTCCCTGATGGTCTGTGTTTTTGGCCCACAGCGTGCCCTACAGAGCCACAGCGGCAGCAGCCTGGCCCAGCTCCCGCTCCTGCTCCGCTGGTACCTCCGCGTCCAGGAGGTCCCCGGGGTGCGCAGGGCCGCTGAGGCCTGTGGGATTGCTCTTCTCACCCCGCAAGCCCCGGTGTTCCCAACCCAGGCAGAGCTGCTGCAGCCTGGGGAAGAGGAGCTGGAAAGCGGGGGGACGATGCCGGCGGCCTTTGTTGGAGGCCCGAGGCCTACGATGACCAAGCTTAAGGTGATTAAACAGTCCGTATGGGTGCAGAGGCCGCAGTCTCCGTAACTTGTGCTCTGGTCCAGTAAACCTGACACTGTAAAGATTTATATTCTCAAAAGCAGCACTGCAGTTATCTCAGTAATGGCATTAAGCAGTGCTTTGTGTCCCATTACGGATGCTGGACTCCGTGTGGATAGCAGCCTTACCGCTGTGAAATTGGCCGGCCTCGATGGGATTTGCCTGCTCGCTCTTACGACGCCCAAATCTCTGAATAGTCTGTCTGGAGGGGGACACTGTCGTACTGTCCGAGCTCTGTGTGTGGGGGGGGGGATTTTATTGCTGGGACAGACACTTGCTGCATTTTTGCCTGTTGTTTTTCTTTTGTATGAATGATGAACATGGAAGCAAAAATGGAACCACATGCGAGGCTTGACAGCTCATAATCCCCTAATGTTGACACCGAGGTCTAACAGTGATTGGTGGGCCTTCATCGTTGGGTTCGTTTGGGGGCTGTAACTGAACAGATGTAGCTGCTCCCCCCAGAAGTCCCCAAATTGCCTTCCTGTTCTATATTCTCCCCCCATTCAGCCCTGTTGGCCCCTTTAAATCCCTGAGTTTATAAATTGGTGTTTTTTGGGGGTCCCTGTGGCCCCCGTGAGTGGAAAGCCCCCCCCCCTCGCCCCTAGTGGTATCCCCCCCCAAGCATCATTTTTTCCATCCATCGCCCCAGATGAGTGATCGCTGCGCTGCTTGTGTTCCGTGTCGCAGCTGTTCCTGCCGGCATGGCCAGTTGGCGTACACNCCATCCATCGCCCCAGATGAGTGATCGCTGCGCTGCTTGTGTTCCGTGTCGCAGCTGTTCCTGCCGGCATGGCCAGTTGGCGTACACCCCCCCCCACCCCACCCCCGAGGCGAGTGGCCTGTGGCTCTCGATTCACATCCATCTCGGCTGCTGTCCAAACCGCATGCCCTTGTCCCAAACAGAAGAGGCTGGATGACTTTTAATGACCAGATTTTATCAGAATCACGTCTCAGTTTCCGAACCACCTTAAATCTACCAGTGCTTTGCTGTGTGAGAGAAATATACTATATTATACTCATTTAGCTGTTGCTTTTATCCATCGTGGCATACATGGGAGAAAGCATGGCTCACAGTCCCAGCAGCACCTGGGGGATTAAGGGTCTTGCCCAGGGGCCCATTGGTCACTCAACCAACCCTGGGATTTGAACCAGCGACCTTCTGATCACGGGCCAAGCATCCTTATCTGCTGAGTTTCACACTGTCTGTGGTGGGTCAGAAAACCCTTTCTGAGATCTCTGGGTAAGACCCTGCTGACAAAACTTGGCTTTTGAACATAGTACCGTAGATTAAAAAATGCGTTGAGTGCAACGTATTTATTACGAACTGAGTTGCACAATTTAGAACAATCCACTGTACGTTTCCCAAATTCCATAGCCGAGTTGAAAAGTTCAGCACCCTGTCTAACCAGAGATGGATGGTGCCCCAGCTACCCACCCCAAAGTCCGTTTATAGCCCATCTTGGGCTTGTGAGGATGCCCGTGAGATCTCTGGGAGGCACGACTTGGTGGGCTTTTGTTCTGCCTAGATTTATCGTGCAGTAACCCTTCTAATGGGTGCCGGATCAGAATGCCGGTCGTTGATGGTTCCAAGAAGCCTGCTGTACAAACAGTTTTGGTGTTCAGGCTGTGATTTGTGCGGTCCTGGGAAGTTTCTATGGTAACGCCAGTGCCTTTTGTGTGTGTGTGTGTGTGTGTGTGTGTGTGTGTGTGAAACCCAGGAGGGTGGCATCGAGCCCATCTTCTCCCCCCATCCCTGCCCATCATGGAGCCTGGACTGGGACCGGCTGCCGGCGGCTGTCAATCCCACAGAAGGTACCGGCGCCGCTGGGTTCTACGCGCCCGTCTCACACGCCTCTGACTTGGGTTTCGCCCTGAGAAGTCGGTATTAAAGGAGATTACTGCTCTGGTCCGGTTTTCCGTTGCGCTGGGAAATCACTGGGTGTGTGCAGCAGCAGACCAAAACACGACGGTTTTTAATGTGCCTTGGGGCCGCATCTGGTGGATTTATAGGACTGTTTGCATGCGTGCAATAGCCGGGCATTATTTCTAATCTCGGTGAGCCGCCCCTCCCCCCCCCCACACACCCCTGAGGCTCCACGTGTTGGACGCTTTGGGAAAGAGCCCCGGTGCAGCTCCAGGTGTTTCAAGTCAGGCATAAAATATGTCTCTCCAGATGTGGGACGATTCCCCCCTCCCCATTATTGCCGGTGAGGGAGACAGTAGCAAGTGCCCCTCAACACCCCCCCTCCCCATGAAGACGGATGCTTTTTTTGGCCCCGTGACCTTTTCTCTCGTCACGCCGGTGGCTGAGAAATGCAGGGGCCCCTGGAGAGTGACCCCGATTGAGCGGCGGGTCGCCTGGTTACGCCCTGAGCGTCAGCCAGTCGCTGTCTCAGCAGAGCGGCGCCTGGGGCCGCGGCTCGTTTGCCAGGGATGTCTCCCGGGGATCCACTGTCACATGACTGAAGGAGTAAGGCAGCCTTTCCACTGCTCTGAAATGTAAAGCTAACCGATGCTGCCCTGTACCCCCAGTTTCACCCAGGTAATGACTGACAATGTAGGCATACCCCTAACCATGAATGGACTGTCACCCCTTACCATGAATGGAATGTCACCCCTTACCATGAATGGAATGTCACCCCTTACCATGAATGGAATGTCACCCCTTACCATGAATGGACTGTCACCCCTTACCATGAATGGACTGTGCCACCCCTAACCATGGTTTGATTAAATCATCCCTAAGTCTTCGCTTCCGGGTTGTTTCAGGCTCAATCAGTCACTGTCCGATGCATGTCTAACTTCGATTTAGAGAAAGTTGTGCTAAACTTTTGTATGGGGATGAGCTGCTCCCTTGGGAAGGTCTTGTAAGGAGTTTGGGGTAATTGGTGTCTGGATTTCCAGAAAAGACCATAATATATGTGTTTAACGTAGAGACCTGTTGCAAAGGTCCATGCAGGAAATGTAATGGTAGTTTTCAGGTGCTAATATCACATTTTTAGAAACTGATGCTGATATTTCAGTTTCTTCCCTGGTTCTTCATCTCCAATGATCTCTGTGTGTGTGTGTGTGTGTGTGTGTGTGTGGCATCCCATTTGGGTTGAAACTCACCGTCTTTGCTGTTTGGTCTCTGCTATAAGTTGAGTATAAGTGAATAAGTTGAGTACGCAGCACAGACACGCTCGAAGGCTTATATAAATACGACAACGCCTGCCCATGTCATCAGCAGCCTGTTCATATCCACTCGTGCTTAAATTAAACTTATACAGCGATTTTTCTGTACCCTGGGAGGAAGACAAGTAATGTTCGCTAGTTCCTTTCGCTATTTAAAATGTCCCAAATCTCGCATTTAAGTCTCCCCAAAGCACTCGAATTGGTAACACGATTTGGCGGGACAATTATGAGGGAATGAACCATGAACAGCCTACAAGGCTTCCTTAGAAGGAAGGACCCCCCCCGACGCAAATTGCCGTGCTGGTATCTCTTGTGTTGTGGCCCGTTGGTAATTAGTAGTAAAGGAGGCAAGATCCAGCCAGTTTGTACCGATTCTGTGTTATGGATCCTTCAGTCTGTCTGTGCTCCCATCTCCTGCTGAAACGCGGTCCCCCCCACTACCTGTTCCCAAAGGGGTCCAGCAGGTGTTACACATCCTGAGAGTTGGATTGTGATGGGGTTTCCTCACATTTAAATGCCACACCAGGGAGTATGATGTCCGTGAGTGCTGGATGGGGAATGTGGAACACCTGTTCTCATCTGAGACGATCATTTCATCACCTAAAGCAATTTTGCATGCAGGTCGCTATATAGCTAAACCACCCAATATCAATGCGATTATATGCTGTTAGTTGTTGGCATTGTGTTGGCATGACTTTAGCATTTAGGCTAACATGGCTTAGCAACAGGAAGGTCTCACCAAGAGTTTGCGAAAACCAGTTTGTTCAGGGTGGGTGGTTGACCTCTGATCACCAGTCACATGGGGGCAAACGCTATGCTTGGTTGGTCACACCCCTGACTAACCGCTGTGTCGACTGCAGCAATCGCTGGGCGTTCCTCGATTTCGCTCTTAGGTCATTTAATCTGGCTCTTTAAGGGCTGTAATTGTAAGATTTAAAGGTGCCAATAAAACGACTCTGGTGGAATAGGCTTCTGGATTCTCCTCCCCCTCCTCGGTAGTTAATTGGTACTCTGTTTCATGTTTTTTGTTTTCCTTATTTCTGCCAACGACTCCCTCACCCGCACTCACTGGTCCCCCCTGAATCTTAATAAATGCAGGCTTGGTGGGAGGCCTGGTTGTCGAGCTTCTGAATACCTAAGCACCGTGGGTAAATAATAGGTTTGCCTTGTGAGACGGCGGTTGATTGGCGACCGGTTCGTTTGCCATTGCGTGTCGCTCTTGCTCCGGCCCTACAGTGACGGGATGAAAGAACTTTGCAAGGAGCCCGATCCCCAGATCCTCAGGTGTGTAATTTGTGAAGAAATCTGGATCTCACGTCCAGACCACTTCAATCGATTCTCCATCGATTTATATGAAGATGACTGCAGCATCCTGCAAGTCTCTCTGGAAATCAATCAGTCCCAGATTAATGCAGATATAGGTATAAATCTGAAAAATATACAAGTGTCTTGAGCATGCTGTATGACTGGTAATGCTGCAGAATTTAAGAAAAAATATAAAAATGGTCAAATTCCCAGAAGGAGATTGGACTCCCTCCCTTCCTGTCCCTTATCTCATTTGTCATATCACAGTTGACCCTAACGTGGACCATATAATCCTCCTCCACAAATTAAATGTTAACCCTTGGACACTGATCCGACACGGGCCTTCTCGTAATTCCTCTTTGCGCTCATCTCCCGATCCCATCAGTTTGCAGATTAACTGCTCACCGAAGTATATTGGACCCACGTTTCCATGGCTACCAGGGCAGGATTCTGGAGACGGTCAAGACCCGTAAGCCTCGCCGTAAGGCGACATAGGCTTTCATTTTCCCAAGGGGGAAAAAAACTGTCTAGTTGCCCATACTTACTAATTTTGTTGCTGCTGCTTGAAAGCCGCTGAGAAGGATGGAATCTTGGCCCACATGGTAATTGAGATGTGAGATGGGCTGTGGTGTTTTGAAGTTCTGTGTTGGAGTAGTGATTTGTGCAGCCTGTAGGTAATTACCGAAGAACCACGTTGATGGGCTCCTACAATCCTAGTGTCTTTTGGGCTTTACTACCTTGGAAACTATGGTACTGTTTTAGTTTTTCAATGAGTTACCATTTTTCTTTCACATTGGGTTATCTCCAGGACATGGTAACTTTGTGCTTAAGCAACCCCAGGGCAGAGACGCCCCAAAGGGGTTGCCCGTCCAACACAAACCATGGTCAGTTTAGTAAAGCTGGTTTACCTAACTGTAGGAGGAATCTCACCAGGCGTGCAGAAGACATGCAAATTCTTGGGCCGGGGCAGGATTTGAACACTCTGCCCGGGAGCCGTGAGCCTGTTCTGTTGCCCATTAAGCCACCGTTCCGCCCCTAGTCAGGTCTCATTTTTATTTATTTCTTAACCACCTGTGATTTTTTTTTTTTCCCTTTCTCTCTGCAAATCTAGTCCATGCCTTGCGCCGTTCTCTGTTAATCGGTTTTGCAAAGGCTCTTTGTTGGGGTGTTACGGGAAAAAGACTCGGGGAGGACAAAGTGTGGGGAGGATGAATTTGAGAAACGGCCTCCGAGAGGCTCTCCGCATTCCCGCAGCCCTGAGGCAGGCGCGTCAGCAATTACACGGCATGCTTCTGCGGAGAACGGTCTGCCCGGCTGTCGGCGCCAACGCCTTCGTCCCACTGCTATGAATATCATTGACTTGGGGCAACCCGGATCTTTCCGCCGGTGACAGGAGCGTCGGGATGCATTCCAAATCGAGCCCGGCTGGGAGGGTCTCCGTAAAACCTCCTCGTGTGGACGTCACCCGTGCTTTGTGGCATCTCAACAAGGTCAAGTCCTTCTGGCACTCCTCTGTCGCAGAGTTAAGAGCCAACTCCCACCGGCACCCATTTGCTTAGAACCGTGGGAGCTCTGGAGGTTAGATATGCTTCTCGTGTGAAGGTCACCGCTGGTCCTTTGGATGTACCCATGAGTGTCATCTTAAGCTAATGCCCTCAGCTGGCTGTAACGTTAAGCTTTAGAGTGTCACTCTCAGTATTTTCCCAGGCTGTTAGCCCTTCTTCAAAGACCGAGGCTCCCCGGGGACCTTCTGTCAAAGTCGCTCCTTGCCTGTCGCTCTCTCTTCATTGGGTTATCACCTTACGCTTGTTAGCCACACCCATGGCGCGTCCTCCAAGCATGGCACCAAGCACTCAGAGATGGTTGACCAGCAATAAGAGATAATCGTCCATGGAAGCAGACTTGTTAAGGTAACCAGCAAGTGACTCACAGCACACAACAATTGCTCCTGTCCTCGGTGTGGAGGTTCCATTGATGCCCCTAGGGACACGCCCCTTTTGGTGCTGCTATTTGGTCTGATCATCCTTAACCAGTAGCTTCTTACGTAGCTGTAAACCTACTGGTCACCCCACCCCCCAACCCAGAAACTAATTACTGTTTATTTTTTTATGTCTACTTCAGGGTTACATGTAGAGGACAGATTATCTTCTGTTGGGAGGAATTACAGCTCTGTGGGTTTGAGAGCCAGGGGCTTGTCTTACTCGCTCGTGTTTATTTAGGGCCTTGCTGTTCTTCCCAGCCACTCAGAAGTATCTAGTTCCCCCGTTTGGGGGAGGGGGAGGGGGGGGGGCATTGATGGACTGTTTGTTCGTCAGTCTGCACACCACACACGTCGTGCCAATTCACCACATACCACGTGTTAACTGCCCCCCCCGTGAATACCACAGCCCCTCCGATGGCACCAGCTGGGGGTAAACAGAGCCCTCTGGGGCGCCCTAGGTCAGCTGGGCCCTACGCTAGCACTGCCAACCCCCCGGCAGGAGTCACCACACTCATTATGACTGCCGAACTGCTGCAGTAAGCACTTATTTCTTGCGCAGTGCAAAAATAACAAAAGTGACAGTTGTGGCCTATGCCAGGGGACGGGGTGAAATTCCGGCCTCGGGCGGGTTGAGGAAGCCCCCTTCCTTGTTTGGCAGCAGCTCGAATGTGATTGGTCTCCTTTCCGTCTAGCTGCCGGGTCACGGAGAGGGCATGGGAGTCAGCGCCGGGGTCTGGGGGTGTCTGCACGGCGCAGGTTTGCACAGGTCTCCCTCCCGGTCTTCCGTCTTGTCGCCATACCGCCGTCCTGTTCCTTGGTGGGGGGGGGTGTTCACCTCTTGTGGGCTTGGCAGTTGCCCGCATTCTGCTCGCTTTCTCTCAGAACAAATATGGCAGGATTTCCACCGCCCCAACGTGCATGAACGGAGCCTCGGTGTTCAGCTGAGGAACACACTTCTCAGCAGGCTTCAAAATAGCTTGTGGTGCAGGTGGATGGGACAGAGTTTGAGCTGGGGAGCGAGGGGGGTGGCTTCTGTCTTCTTGGGCCGCAGGCAGCTGGTTCCCCACAGCCATGCTGGGATGAGCTCTTCACCATCCATCAGAATCTCTTAAAGGTCTCTGCTGCCACTTCTGTTCGTCGTCCCAGCAACATAAAGCAGTGGTTCTGTGATTGCCGTGGCCTCGGTGTATAGCATTCCACTCCCGGTAACGGACATATGCTACCGACATCCTGACGGTCTGAAGTTCAGGGAGAGTTCGGACTTGAGAGACGGCAGCAAGTCCCTTATCTTCTGGAAACCTTGCTACAGTGCAGCACCATGACACACGGATGACCTATGCACCTGTGTTGCCAGAACAGAAACAGGTAGTGCCCCCCCCCCCCCCCCCCATGACCAGGAGCCCACAGAGGCGTCCATTTGACGTTCAAACAAGACTGGATAGAAGGGGCAGATAGTTTAGCAGTTAAAACATGGTACACAATGACTAGACACTTTAGCTGACAGCTAAACAAAGGATGGGGGGGGGGGAACACTAGGGTGGGGTGAGAAATGGTTTTTCCAGCCGAACAGCGGCGAGCTGAGGAATTATGTTTGGAGTTCACGGTTTTTGGGAAGGTCGAGGCATTTTGTGAGGGCTGTGTAGGGGTCGGGGCGGGGGGGGGGGGGGGGGTTAGCCATCAAGATCATCCACTCGACCGCCGGTCTGTGACAGTGTTGCCTCAGGATGACTTCACTGGACTTTTTCCCAGTTTTACTCCCTCTTCAGCAATGATTTTGTTTTTTCCCTGACGGAGGGTGAAATTCATTGGTAAGCGAGTCTAGTTAAAGGAAAGGTGCCACTTTCACGGTAATAGGAGGGAGTTTGATCACGTCTCTGTTTTCCATTCGCGAGGCGGCGTCGGTTAGAGAGATTATATTGACCCTGAGTTTCTGCATGGGTCCGCTGTCGTGTGAGAGAGTAGCCCGATACACATCAGGCATTAATAAAGATGAGGGCGAGTCGCGTTGAGTGGCAATGCCCCCCCCCCCCAAAGCCACGTCTTCCCTATTTTGACAGAAAATCTGTGTGTGGCGGCCGACAGTGGAAGGAAAGTGAGATCTACCCCAAATGATGAGCCGCCGCTGTTCATCACCATGCTGATGGGTTTCGGGGGGGGGGGCTAGGGCCACAGTGTGTTCCTTTAAGATGAGGGTGTCTTCAATCAGGAGCGTCGTCATCAGCATGAACATCATCTCCCTGTGCTCCTTTAAGCCCTGACATGGGCCTGATGTACTATTCAGGTAATCCTACTGCAGTGCGATTTCCTGCATAAAAATGGACAAAATGATGGTTAGCAAAGGGAGGTTGACCAAGCCAGGAAGGGGGGGGGGGGGATGGGCTTTTAGGATGTCGGGATCAGCAACGGTGTGAAAAAGGACAAGGGTCTCATTGTATTGTCCTCGTGCTGTGTGTCGATTGTCTTACATCACTATTAGCATTGTCTGTCGTGAAGATCTGTCTTATTTGATTTTAACAACCAATTAAGTGCCATCACTCCTTGTTATCCCTTATTCCCGCTTCTGGTCCATGCGGTTTAACTTAATAGACAAGCACACCTTGGAATCTCTCTTCTTCTTCGGCCCGGCCGACCCGATCCGTGAATTGGCACCCGCGGTCTCTCTGATTACGAAGGCCTTTCTCTCGGCCTCTCTCTTCGCCGCCAGATTTCACCACGGCTCGTCTAAAAGGCCCCACAGTTTCTCCCCATGTTCTCCGCAATCTGCCCGACGCCGCCTTTGCATTACGCCACTGTCGCTTATGCCATCCCGGACCGTAATTGGCTCGGTAAAGCCCATTACAGCAGCCAGCAATGTCTGAAGAGTGTGACCTTGAGTTAATGTCGTCTTTAACAGCGTGGGATTTGCGTCCGGTGTAAGCTGTGGTCACGCTGGATCTCGCTGCCTGGCCACTAATGCATGCTTTCCGGCAGTCAGCCGGTGGCTCTGTGTCTGCGCAGACGTGCCGCCCGCACCATGCACCGGCTGCGGTGAACTGCGTAGAAATGTCATCCAGTAGTTTAGATTTCTGTCTTCCTTTTGGGGGGGAGGGAGCTGAAAGATTGGGAAATTGGCGATAAGGCAGGCCGCCCCCCCCCCAAGCCCCAGAGCGGAGTTGTCCACATGTTTGCGGGCTTCGTTTTCCTCCTGCCGGCGTGTTTCTCCAGGCTCTTAGGTACTGGCTGAGAGAGCAGGGGGGGGGGGGGGGGGGGGGGGGGGAAAATGAGTTAATGGGGTGCATCCTTGCCATCTCTCCCTGTCTGCGGGTCACCAGAGCAGGAAGCCAGGCCTCGCGTTTCGGAATGGCCACATACCGAAAGTGGTTTGGGGAGCAGTTAAGCTCAAAAGAAAACATTGGTTTTGGGAGCGGGGGGGGTGTGTGAATAAGGTGTGAAATGGAGGCATGGGGATCACATTCAGTCAGGCCTGCACCAAGGAAAATTACTCATAACAAAGTCGACACTGTCCTGCCAGCTCCCATGGAGCCTTGTTGGCCTCAGGTGCCGGGAATGCTGGGAACTTTTGGCGTGAAACTTCTTGTTTTCACAAACGTCTTCACGGATTATTGGAGCACAACGTCTAACTGACCATAACTGCAAAATAAAGCTGTTGGATATGAAATATTTCTTCAGCTCTTCATGTGCAGGGACTTGGGGGGGGGGCAGGGGGCTGTTGGGAGGGGGTTTTTAAATGTGTGTATCGATTTACCCATTTACTGTTTGCAGGAAAAATGTCAGACGTCCGGGCAACGAGAAAGCGGCAGCAGCTGAACAACCTGGTTTCCATGGTGACGAAGTTAGCATGTCCGGGAGACCGGGTGGTGGACTTCTGCAGCGGAGGTGTAAGCGTCGGGTGGGCAGTGACGCCATACATGTCCGCTACGCGGCTCCGGGCCGCCTCTGCGGCGGGTGAATGTATCAGTCCGATTCCGGAAGCTGCCGGCCTGAGCTCTCTGAGCCTCGTCCTCTCCGCTGTTTGTGTTGACAGGGACACGTCGGCATCGTTCTCGCCCACGCCCTCCCCGAGTGCCAGGTCAGACTCTGCCAAAAGTCGCCCTCGTCAGGTTACGCCCTCTGCGCCAGGCCCGGTGACGGCGGTCGGCGGCAAATGGCTCAACCTGAGAAAACATCGAATTCGTTCCCAGCCTCCCGCCGGCGTGTGGTTTTCCCCCAACTCTCTTAATTTATGAGCCGCGCGACCCTGAACCACCGGGCGCTGTGGTACTCCAACCCTTTTTCTCCTCTCCCCAAACATAACAGGAGGAGACCAAACATTTGTCAGCTGGCAGAATTTAATTTGAAGCCAGCACTGAATCTTGGGGCCCAGGAGAGCCTAATGCTGTTTGTTGGTTGAAGGTTTCATTTCCGTTACCTCTGCAGCAATCTAACCCTAATTGACGGCAGCCTTGGGTCTCGCCTGCCGCGGAGGCTCGGCGGATCGATCGCGAATTATGTCTAGGGTCGCCTAGGTCATGTGGTACAGACTCTGGCTCCGCTGACAGATGTTGCCCCCCTTCTCTTAGGTGATTCTGATCGAGAACAAGGAGGAGTCCCTGCTCCGAGCGAAAGCCCGATGTGCTGAACTCAGCCTGAAAAATGTGTCCTTTATCCAGGCGAACCTGGACTACTTCACTGGACCCTTTCAGATAGGGGTGAGTCCCACCGGAACGGCGGGTATCTGCCATGCATATGAATGCGGCTACAACACATGGCTACTGGCCCCCCAGGGTCAGTCTCTTGTTGTTCTAATTTCCATCGGTTCCTCGTTGCTCGTATATGTACTGAACAGCCCCTCCCTCCCCCCTCATTAGTTTCAAGGACTGGCAGCTGAATACTGTCTTCTCTTGAATTTATTGTACATTTCGTTTCACAAACGTAACTATTTGTTTTGGTTTTTTTTTTTCTCATTTTTCTGTCCTTCCGTGCTCTAGAAGGCCCAGAGCGTCTGTTTTATTTTGAATGGTCGAGTTAATGAATTCCGAGAGCTCTGCTCTTCGTTCGGGAGTTTTTACCCTGCGGGCGCCCTTTCACCCCGTGAGAGTCTGAAATAAAACACAGTTTCCCATTGACGGGCCCGTCTTGCTCCCTCTCGTCCCTGCTGGCCTGGGGTTAGCGATGTCCATCACCATTGTGGGCCATTTCTTGCATTTAACTCCCTCAGATCTTTGAATGTTGAGTTCTGCTCCTACATCGGCCGCGCTCGTTCGAGGTCTCTCTCTCTCCAGCACTCAGATCTTTGTGTGTTGAGTTCTGCTCCTGCAGTTTGGGATTTCTCAGAAACTCATATTTCTGTACGTTGAGCTTCTCATTGAAATACTACATTTTCTCATATCTGATAAATCTGGTGACCGTGCTGGAAGTGTGTACTGCAGAACTCTTCCCCAGAGTTTATCTCCGAGCGTCTTGACTCATCCCGTACTGCTGCGGTGTGTTTCTTCCAGAAGCTTCCACGGCAGCGTGTCCTGCACGGTTCGGGCAGGCGAGAGCTGCATCGCTCAAGGACAAACTCGCATCCTTGCCATATAATAAGCCCTAGCATGACTTCTGTGGTCATGTCTTCTTTAATATTTCGTCTTCTCTGAATTCATTCAGTACCAGTTGTCACTTAATTACTCACAAATGTCCTGCATAGTTAAAGTCCATATCATTTGGTTTCAGTTTATGCCGATTTTAATTTTTTTTAAGGCAGACACGTTTTTTAAACGTGCTTAATAATCTGATTGGCTACGTCGGACCCCCCAGCCAGGTATGAAATAAGCCCCCATTTTGTCGTATGGCTGTCAGACACAGGACTCTGGGGCCGGAGGGCTGAAAGCTGCAGGAGAGGCTTCTTTTTTGCGTTTTTGTCGTGTCGGTGCCCAGGATCCTTAAGCGGGAGTTATTTTCCCTGGTTGTTGGAAGCGCGTCCGTCATTGCCTCTCCCACCTAACGGAATTTGGAATCGCGAGGGCGTTTTGGACGCGACTTTGCGTCTCTCTAGCTTCCGTTTTGTCGGACGAGTCATCTTGCAGTTCTATTTTTCTAAGAAATGAAGGAAACCAGACTCAAGTATTTACCAAGCAGGTTCATAGTCTTTTGTAGAAGTTCTGTAAGGTTTGACCTGAACTCACATAATGCAGAGAATTCCCATTGCACAGAAGCTCACTGCACAAGCTAAAACAGCTACAGTCTGTGTATGGAATGACACTGTATTGGCTCTTAAAGATCTGCTCATGGTATTTGAATGATGCACTCTAGGTATTCTTAATTACAATATCCCCGTGTAGTGTGACCTTTCAGTGCTATCCCGAGGTAATAGTGTATATGTATGTATGTATGTCTTTATATATGAGTAAAGAGTTGATGACAAAAAAAGAGCTTTATCACGAAGTACATAAGTAGCGGTGAGAGTGAAGCTTGGGGTCTAAGGCTTAGCCATTTATCCGGGGCCCCTGGAGCCTTTTACGGGGGTTAAGGGCCTCACTGAAGGGCCCAACGGAGATGTGGCTACGCTGCTGAGCACAGGATCCGGACCGGCGGAGCCACACTGACTGGGCCGAGGTCACAGACGTGTTGGGAACCCAGCTGCCCATCGTGTTCGTCTCCTCGCCGGATAAGGAACGAGAGCCGGGGGCCCGCCGTGGCGCAGAGCCGCACCTGTGGTCTGTCGTCGGCTCACGTTTCAGCCCCAGTCTCTTCGGTGGTCTGGAGGGTCAATGCTGAGGAAAGTTTGCAGTGTTAAAACAAGCATTTTCCAGCCCAGAAAGTATGTGAATAATCCCCAACAAGATTGATGAGGCTAATAAGAACTGCTTTGCTAACACAATTCAGCCCCTTATGATCTTTCTTTTATGCATTATTCACTGCGGCCGTGGCTAAGGCTTATTAATAATGGCCTCAGGTTCTCTGCTAAGTGCATCTTCGCAGGGCTTTCTGGACATGCAGGTTTTGCGACCGGGGGCTTGTCGCTAAAGTAAACGTGGAGCGCGGGCGTGCGGTGCGCGTCCGCTCGTTTTCCGAGGAACACGGCGTCCCTTTTTTCCCCGGCTTATTAAGCTTTCTCTGCTATGAAAAACAAAATTCCTCCGGTCGCTTGCCAAACCTGCCCACCATCTTGCTTTCATTACCGTTGCGAACTCCTTTCCAAGGAGGAGATAAGGCGACTGCGGGGCCCTGCCTGTGGACTTCTGCGTGGACTATTATTGTGTTTATTTTTGTGTATTTTCAGCCCCCTTTACCGCACTCCAACCCCCGGTCTGTGAAGTCCACGTCACATATTAGTAAGTAATAACATAACTGAGTCCCAATTCCCTTTGCAGTCTTTAATTTCCGGCGAATAGAATTAAATTAATGCAGCTCGTGGTTGATGCCAAAATCATTCTCTCAGGATGCAGACGTCTTGAAATGGCTTCCCTGTGGATATTGTCAAACAGGTCCCATATCCCTGCTCCAATGAACGATTCCGGTCATCAGGTGGACTCCCCGAGTGCCGACGATTCGCGCTAAGTGCCATGACGACGTGAGCCGTAATCCGGAACCTTCCCGAGCTCCATGGTGTTCCCTTTTGTGTAGGGGTTCTGAAATGTGGCCACTCACGTTTCTTAGAAAGCTCGGACTTCCCCATGGCAACCGTACTCGGCCCAGGTGCCGTGCTGTCTCTGCAGGAAGCTGGAGTGGCTCCGGAGAAATATTCCGGTGAAGGGCAGCATCTAGAAGGTCAACGACTACACAGAGCACTCTCACCCCCCTGATGACCCGAGATGGTCTCAGATGGAAAAGCTTGCAGCTCTTCCTAGAAGAGGGTCTGGTAGAAAGGAAAGGCTGCTCTTGTTGAACCATTAGTGGAAGAACCCATTATTCATAATGGCGGGGTGATGCATTAATGGAAGAACCCATTACTCTGAACAGTGTAAGGCATCAGTGGAAAGACCCATTACCCATAATGGGGGTGAATCAGCAGTGGAAGGGCCCATTACCCATAATGGGGGTGAATCATCAACAGAAGGGCTCATTATTCATTAAAGGGGTGAAGTTCTTCATAAGAGGTGAAAGCGGTTCTGCTTTCGCTAAGTGGAAATGTGAAGTTGGAGGCCCCAGGATCTGGACCGGTGCATTTACGGTCTCCCCCACTGTGTGCCCCCAGGTGGCGCTGCACGCCTGCGGCGTGGCCACAGACATGGTCCTGGAGCACTGCTTGCAGGCCGCCGCCGCCTTCATCATCAGCCCCTGCTGCTACGGCTTCGTCCAGAACACCTGCAAGTTCACCTTCCCCCGGAGGTGGGTCACCTGGAACACGCAGAACTGAACTTCCTGTTTGAGTACGGCATGGGCGACTTTGGTGTCTTATTAACTTTAAAATATTCACCAGAGGGCAAGTTAAACATTGAAGGCACCAAAAGCAGGCCAACTGCTAGACCATTAAGCCCAGTAACCCTACCGCCAAATACTAAGATACCTTCTGAAGATACCCTTACTGAGACTATACTGTTCCATTCTGGGGAATGTGTGAATTTAATGCAAATATCGTAAATGTCTAACACATTCACGTCTGTTTGCAGCAAGCGGTTTTCGGATGTGCTGAGCTACAAGGTACGTTCCACTGCGCCGTCAGAATGCGATCTGCAGCCGCCTGCAGGTTTGGTTCTAGCCCAGCATCTGGCCTGAGTCACGCAGGTTCTGCAGTTGTCGCTGCGATGCTGCCATTTCTCAAGCTTATGCTCGCGAGCCGTAAACAGATTAGCTTCTGAAATTCCTGGTGTTTGGGGGGGGATGTGGAATGATACGAGTTTCCCCCGGAAATCTACAAACGCGAGGTCCCTCTGGGCTTATCGGCTTCCCGCTGCAGTGTCGAACATCCTGGAGATTAAAAGAGCCCCGCTCGGATTTGTGGATTTATTCGGGTCTAATTAAACCTGAGACTCTGTGTTCCAGTTTACTTTATAATAATGCTAATATCACGTTAAAGGCATGATGAACTTCACCTCTTGTTGTGACGTTAGTACCTATATTCCCTATAATCTTTCTAAGTACCTCCTTTATTCATTGTCCTGCGCACAAGCTCTTTTGGGATTTAATCAATTTAACACCGTGCTGGGGGGGGATACAGTTTGGTCATTGACGGTCCTCTGCCCTGAAAGACGAGGCAGTATTTAGCGCCCCTCTGACGGATCAGCACTGAGCCCAAAAGCACGAACCCTTTGCTGTCGCCGACCCTTCCGTCGCCGGGCTGGAATGCCTGGGGCATGATGATGAATAACGTAGCACCGAGATGGACTATCAATGATTGGAAGTATCGATATTTAACACTGAGCCTTAATGGCCGAATGCAGGCCCAAAGGGTGCTTTCTCATCGCGGACTGAAGAATGGGATCAATTAGAGAGACAGGAATCCCGATTCGCTGTTAGCAAAGGCGCACTGCTGCCCCAGGGAAGGCTGGGGTGGGGGGGGGGGGGGGGTTTGCACCTCTAGGATATAGATTTTAGGAAGTTTCCAGGAAGTTGCAAAGGAACAGGAATGCATGGGTTCCCATCTCACAAGACGTCGTCTCCCAACTTCTCCCTGCAGGAGCACATGATCCTCTGCAGGTTCGCGGACCAAACGGCTGGGCAGTTGCCTCCCGACCGACAGTTAATAGGTAAGTAGGTTACTCCATTAATAGACTCCAAAGTACCGCTCACACCCCCGTGGGCCCAGTTTAAATGATCCTGTTTGGTAATCAGTATACAGGGGAGCGATCAGTTAGCGAAGGCAGCGTATGAAACGTGAGCTTGCTGGTGTTTATAGGAGTAAATCTTGTTCATGGGTAGGATGTGTTGCTTTGAGCATGTTTCATCGAGGCTGAAGATGTGGGAGAGGTTTTCAGACGCGTCCTTCATCCCCGAATTTATGACCCACCTTCTGCCAACTTCACCGGCACCGAAAACAAAGCCCTCCATTCCCACGGTCCGTTCAGCTTCAGCCCTTATAAATCATTTCTGACGACTGCCGCTCCGTTGACACTCTCCGAGGTGCAAGAGTGTAGACCTTTCCCATCTGTCGGTGGGCACAACCTAACAAGCTTTAATCCCTATTCTTACAGCCACCAATAGAAAGTTCCTACAGAATCACTCTTTTTCAAAAAATAATTATCCTGGCACACACTGTAACAGGATTTGCCCCTTAAACATATCCTGTAATAAGATTCTTCACTTTAATTAAACTTTGAAATGCTTGTAACATGTTAATGATATTGTTCCTGTTGGCATTTTCTTGCAGATGTTAGTTAACATTTCCGATTTTTATTTACTTTGATGGGAAATGAAGATTAAGATGCACTTTATTGGTGCCATTGGTAACTCCCTCTCTCTCTCTCTCTCTCTCTCTCTCTCTCTTCTTAGGCAAGCATTGCATGGGTCTGGTGGACCTAGACCGGGCTTGGGCCGCCGAGAGTCTGGGTTACTCAGTCAGGGTCCTGACCATGGAGCCTGCAAGCTGCTCCCCCAAGAACAACATGCTGGTCGGGGTCCCCACTGGCCGGAGACTCTGCTGAAGCCGGGGACAGGATCCCAGGATCTTAGTTCCCCTCGTATACGAGATGCAATCATGTTGTTTAAAACCCCCCCCCCATCACTTCTGCTATGGCACTGTGTGCCATTATACCAAGAAGGTGGAAAAATAGGGTTGTAATTCAACTTTAAGGGCATTGTCGATATTTTATGGATAAAAAATTTTACAGGCAAAGAAACATGTTTTATTGAACCTGATTTTATACGAGGAACCTTTCCAGGAGCTGAAGACCTCCCCAGTCTTAGGCAGCTGTGCCGAAGAAGAGGCAGTGATATAAAATAAGATTATTACGGTTATTAAAACGTCAGACGGTGGGCTCAGATGAATGCCTGAAACCACCCGAGATGATCGTCTCCGTGATCCAGGGCTTGATCCTGCATGACCCCATGAGCGGCCTTTAGGGGAATGCACCCCCCCCCCCCCAACTCAGGTGTCCAGAGTCTTCACGACCCGGCGGACACCGCTAAGCCAGGCGTGTCGGCCACGCTGCTGATCCTGATAAAAGCAGGATCTTTCCCTAATGGTGAACCGCACCGGGTGTGGAACAAAACAAGGGAAAAAAAAGGGACAATAGGCCTAGGCACAAAAAAAAATTGATACACATTTACTACCGACTCCTGTTGCACAAGTACAAGTTGCAGACAGCATTTGTGTGGCGTTTTAATACTGAATAAATGTTTTCAAAATCTAACGAGTGTGATCTGTGTGGTCCCAGCATACCCCAATACACCAGTATATACAGGGGATTCTTCACCCTGCTGGGATTTGTCTATCTGCTTCCACCAGTGATAAGATAAACAAAACAGGTGAGATAGGACTTGTTGTAGGAAGTGGAAACGCCTCTCGAAACCGCACGCTTAGGAGAGGAGGAGATCACCCTTGCTTCCCATTTCGTGTCGTTCTACAAATTAGGAGAACGAGATTCCGTAATAGATGACAACAGATTTTTACATCTGCTGCTTGGTGTCGCGGTTAAGCCACAAAGCCAGGTCATCTGCCTCTTAAAGTCATTGCGAATGCAAAATTATTCATTGGATTGGACCGTCGTTCGCCGGCAATCTATGAGAGTCCTCTTTATCTGCGGATGTTGTGTTTTTAAATGCTCAGCGATAAGAATTCCAAAGGAGAATCACAGACCACTGATCCCTCAGGACCACTATTGATGTTTTCAAGAGCTGGGCAGTATGCCGATTATTTATGGAAGGCGACAGTCTCAAAGCAGGATTAGTACATCAACAAAGAACGGAAGGAGCGAAGGCTGTCTGGATTCAAGGTTGACGCGAACTTTGAGTGACGTGGCCGGTCGAGATGAAATGTTTTCCTTAATCAAAGCGAGGTACTACGTGCTCTGTGTTTCCATCATCCTGAGTGATGTACCCAGAACTCAATGGGTACTTCTCGCATGTGTGCATGTGTTTTATTTATTTTTTTTGCTGCTGGTTCAACACCACCTTCCTTAAGCATAGCAACGCGATTGCCGATGCTTCCGTGTGCCTAATCCCTTCATTTGTAAGTCATAAGCTTGTCTGGCTCACTGATTAATACAGAAAGATTCTTGGCAAAACTTCTCCCAGGGTTGATGCAGGCTAAGGGTACAGACACTTCCTATCTTTGGCTGTGTGCCTGGAAGCCTTGGGTCCTGGGTCAAGGTCCCTGGCCGTCCCGTGCCTCGACTCTTGGGGAATGCCGACTCGATCCTCCTCCGGCTACAGAGATCACTTGCCGTCTCAGGGACTCATCTGAATTCTGTGCTCGCAGACTGTCTCGGGGTGAGTGGCAGGGCGCACAACACCTTCAGGAGCCACATTTATTTCAAAGGGATATTTTCTCAGCATCCCCCATGCCCCCGCCTCCCATTATCATTGTCCCTGCCCCGGTACGTATGACAGACACATGGAGGCAGACGCCTATTGAATATGCGATGTGGTGGACTCGATGAAATGCGTTACTCTGTGGGAAGGCTGGGGTGAGGCTAAGGTCTACCTTGTTTGTGTATAATGCGCTATGCTGTAGGTCACTCTCTAATCAGCTAATCTATCCGGATTTCTCCCATGTATGCTTCAGTATTAATTCCTCTTCCAGCCACTAGGGAACATGAACACGTCCTGAAGTTCCTCAGTATTACGTTCCCATAGGGCTGAACTACGCTTATGAAAGATTCGACTTTTCATTGTTCCCCCCCCCCCCCTTACTTAAAGAGTAAGTCTGGAGACTTCCCCACATCTGTATCAGGAATTTCACATTTCGTAAGTGGTCCGTTAACTTAATTCCAGGATATATTACTGCAATGTCCTTTTGTGTTTATCAAAACAAAAAACTTTTGTACTAAACTTTTGTACTATAATATCTTGGGCTAATCTGTCAGAAATTACAATGAGTCAAACAGTTCCAAATTTTCCCCCGACTTCTCAGTTTAAGGGGGGGTAAAAAGGACTTCTTGTTTAAAACACTGGTACATGACCCAGCACGCTCTGACAGAACGCAGTTAAAAGGGTTCGTTATCTAAAACTGATCTTGAGATTCAAGTATGGATTTGGTTGGCCGGGAAAAACTCGAGTCCTCCAAGCTTCTAAAACGAGCAGCAAAAGTAAACAAGCCGAATTTAATTCATTTGCTTTATCGCTTAGCCACGGAGAGATAGCAGAACGTTTGCTGTAGAATTAAATGAAAAAACGCAGGTTTCTGCGGATTCTCTAAGTACATGTACATTATTATTATTTTTTAAATCATGGCTTTCCCGAGACATCTGTCATTCTGAGATGGACATGCATCACGCTGCGGATAGTGTTAAGATAACCGAAGGGCTTTCACCTCTGGAGGTGTTTCAAGCCAACTACCTTATGCTAATTGGTCACTAAGTCACAGGCCAGTGCCGCTGCGGTTGTGTTGGAGATTGGGTTCTGTGCTTATCCAAATCCCAGTTGGGGGCCGTGAAAGATTGTGAGCGAAACTGAGGTACATTAAAGTGAAAATGGCTCAGAGATCAAAGTGAAACGTCTACTGAGAGACAAAGAATCGATGGCAAAATTATGGCAATTTGTACGTCACAGCCATAGTAATAAAACCTTTCAGGGGGTGGTTTGGTAAAGCTGAACGAATATAATGGTTTGTGTAGCTGTTCTCTACCACAATTGGGATTGCATTCAGGTTGATTTAACTGGACAAATTGGGAACTTTTTTGAATGCCTGTTTTAAATGGCTTCAGAGCAAGTTGGTGTGTAAGATGCTGGTTGTAAACAGCCCATCGCCTCGTCGTCCATCATCACCTGAGGGAAATACGTGAAAAGGCACAGATCTCAAGCAAAAGAATTTCCAAAGATGAGACGGCGTGTTTTTTCCCTCGCAATATCAGTACCGGGTTACCGAAATTTCTTAGATACGAGGCTTTAAGTCATGAAACTTTCATCGAGGTGCCCCGGAGGCAGAGTACGTGGTGCATGACAATGGAAAAAACTGAAATGCAATCAACCTCCAAAAATGCCATTCCCTAGATACAGTAGCCTATATAGTAAACAAGACATCCTCTCCGTAATATGAGCGAGTTGATATGTAGTATCTACCAGCATGTGTAAATTAAGGTGTGGCGGCCCTACGTAACTTCCCAAAGTTTATCCATCTACTCTCGGTTTATTACCTACAAGGCACACGATTCCGCAAAACTGGCTTTAATTTAACTGAGCACCACGCCGGCAGTCCGTTTAAGGGAGAGCATAGGTGTCAGGTACAGCTAATGGGGGTAATTTTACCCAGTTCCAGCCCAGATCGTTTGCTCGGGTCTGAAAGGTGCGGTGCCGGCCGCAAACGATGCCACGCGTGCAACGTGCATCTACGTTGTATTGCGTTAATGACTTGTTTTTTTTACGAGTAGTGCTAAAAGTGTACGATCTGTGGTGTGTGCAAACAGAGAGGGGGCTGTAAGGTGTGTATCAGATGAGTCTGTGGCCGTGTGTGGGAAAACTCCATACTGCGCCGGTAGAGTGCACTCCGCTCTTGACAGATCCGGTTTCCCCCCTGTAAATGAAGTGTGCGCAGGGTACTCAAACCGCACCGGCTCTGAGGTTGGAAAAGCTCCCCGTGCTCGTTTTCCTCGCCGGTGACAGTGTTTGAATGCGGGGATCCGCTGCCTGACCGCCAGTGTGGGTTTCGGGAAAACATCGGAGGACGCATTGGTTTAAGGATGGAAGTATGGGTGAAGTTGACGCTTCTGTGCGGCTGCTGCTTCGGAGCGATCGCGGACTTTGACGGCAGGTACGAACAGTGTTTATATGTACAAAGTATATACGGCCAGTGTGTTGTGAATGCCGTGCTACTCGCTCATGAAACGGCCAGCGAACATGTTTCTGCAGATACATTAAACAATTTACATTTAAATATATATAACTTAACTGCATTGGCAGCAGAGACGGATATATGTTATATATGTGTCATGCTGCTTAAAATTAATTTTAGGTTTACAGAGACTTGAGGTGTATTTTATTGAGTATTAATTTTCATAACGATAAAAACGTAAACAGCTTTGATTCTACGGCTTATTTTGCACGGACTTCTGAACACGTTTGTAAACCATCGGAAATTTTGACCATTTCAAATGTATTATCTGTTTAGAGCTGCGATTCGCACTTGTTTTCACCGTTGATTACTGAATAAGATATAAACGCATATATGCATCTGTTATTTACAAGACGGTGAAGTTTTTAATCCCGGCAACACAAAACGTGCGTCTGTAGTTCTTGTATTAGTCACAAGTGGGGGGTTGCTTACATATTTCCCCGCTGATCTTTGGGAAGTGACAACCTTCACGTTGCTGGGTGGTTCAAGTCCAAACACGATTGGGGTGAAATATTTGAAGAAGCGGGACAGGAAGGTGCCGAAGCTGAGGAATGCGCTCTGATCCGGGACGGCTGACGTGCGCAGTGCCGCCGCCGCAGTCGGCAAGCTGTCCTCACCTATAATCTGTGGATACCACCTCCTTTAATTATCCAATATGCACGCATATGTGATAGCAGAGAATGTCAAGTAATTTTACTAATATTTTCGTTCTCGTCCATTAGATTACATTGGGTTACCGCTGCTGGCTTTTTGTTTCAATTTCCCTAAGATGTTGCCATTTCTACCAAGCAAATATTGAAATTATGTCCACTTGACTTTAAGGCTTGGAAGACATTTAGCCTCCTTGAACAGTTCGGTCTGATCTCCTTTAATTATAACCTGGGGGTTAAAAAAAAAAGTTTAATGTCGACGCTTCAATCTAACCATCAAACCACAGCGGTGTTTATTTTTCTAAACTGAGTCGGGCTTGCTCAGCCGTGCTTAACTCAGTCATTCCTGCATGCTGGCTGTTCTTCTTGGCAACTTGATAAAAGCTTTCGATAACACCCCCCGATCAAGAGATCTCACACTGATGTGAATTATCTTAGGAAGCGCACGAAACATCAGCATGCTACTGAAAACGGGCTTGAGAATCATTTGTCTTTTGATATTTCTACCACGACGGCCTCGGGTCTCTCAGCTTAATTCTGCCGAGTTTGTCTCCACTATTAGCGGACCGCCAACCCCTGGGTATCGCACTCCGGCTGACAAATCACACTCAGCCATCGCCGCGAACGCTTTAATGAAAAGGCTGTTTGAGACGAACGCGCCCGGGCGTCGTGTTACCACAATGGGCAGAGGTGCAGCGATGTGGGCTTTGCAGATGGCGAGAGCATCCTGTCTGTGAGCTCACTGCTCTTGTCTCCGATCAACGCAGACTCATGTGGGCACCCCGCCCCCATTAACAGGGGGTTTTGTTTTGTCTGCTGGAGTAATATCAGACCGCTGGGCGAACATGCGGGCGGCCTGCGGGTTCGTAATGGCTTTCGGTCAAAGCGCCAGGCTGACTGTAATGAGTATATGGATTAACCTGAAGGTGTCGCCTATTAGCGGCAGAGCTGATGGAGGGCTCTGTCAGAGCGCCCATTATTTGCCAATTTTCGCCATTAGGAACCAGCCCAGGCTCCTTGCTCTAAATTCATGGAAAGAGTATGCCCAGAGAACTCACAGCCGGGGTGTCGTCCGTGCTCGCTGGGGGTTAGCTCTGCCCTGTGCCAGTGCTGCATAGGAAGCATGGCCTTCTGGGGACGCACGCATAGTGACGGTTCTAATGATACTACCAGGATACCATCCTGGGGTGGGCTTTATTACCAGTATAAAAAAGTTGTCGACCTGTGGGGTAGAAGTTAATTATGGGGTGAGGCCAATCTTGTTCATATTTGGTCTGTCTTTGTTGGGTGGACAGGCGATCTCTCTGGGCGGGCATGGCTCACCTGTAGCCACACCCCTGTCTCTCTAGGAAAATGGCGTTTATTTCTTGTTTTGTTTACTTTCATGTATCGCTTTGGCCAAACTGGACCTGTCTCTCTAGCCATGCCCCAGTCTCACTTGCCACGCCCCAGCCTCTCTAGCCACACCCCTGCCTCTCTTGCCACGTCCCTGCATCTCTTGCCACGCCCCTGCCTCTATTGCCACGCCCCTGTCTCTCTAGCTACGTCCAGCCTCTCTAGCCATGCCCGTCTCACTTGCCACGCCCCTGCCTCTCTAGCCACGCCCCAGTCTCACTTGCCACGCCCCAGCCTCTCTAGCCACGCCCCAGTCTCACTTGCCACGCCCCAGCCTCTCTAGCCACGCCCCTGTCTCTCTAGCCACGCCCCAGCCTCTCTTCCAATTAAACGGCATATGAGACAAAAATCCTGCATACGTTTTTTTCCCTAGGGACCTCTTCACCGAACGGATGCCATGTGAAGGTGCGAGTGCCCTCCCTGCGACACAAACACCCACACTCTGCCTCTCCTGCTATTAATCCATGATAATGTGATGTTAGTCTAAGACCTGATTTAATTCTGTTTCACTCTCAGGTTACAGGCCCCGTTGTGTTTATTTTCAGTCGCTGCGGTAACAAACTGGTCTACATGTCTAATGTCCAGGCTCCCCTGAGCCAATTATGCTATAAGGGTAGTGGTCTATAAACATAGACGTCAGTCGCTTTTCTTCACAATCGCACAATCTCTACAGGTGTCTTTCATGTGTTACCGCCCCCCCCCCCCCTTTACACCCATATTTTATTACTGTTAAATTAGAGGTGTTGTTACAGAAATGCGACAGAGTGCTTCTCATTTTTTTTCCCCACTGCGGAGAGTTTGTGCATGCCAGCGGGTGGGTTCGCCGCGCTCATGCTTTTTAGACCGCAGAGACCCGCTGTGCTGAGAATGCTGGACCAAAACCCATTACTGCAGCCGGATGCATTAATGCTGTGCCTCGGCCGGAGTGTCTCGCCAGGGGGCGTGACCTTTGACCCCCTGCCGTGTACCCACAGCAACCTGTTGCAGGCGTACGGCCTCACAAGAGATAGTTTGCGTGAACCGGAATTCCAGCCATTATTTGAGGTATTTGCAAGGTTAGTTTACATTTATTTAGCTTTCATGGGGTCAGATGATCCTTGGAGCAATTTGGGGTTAAGGGTCTTGCTCAGGGACTCAACGGTGACATCACTCAGCCGACCCTGGGATTTGAACCAGGAACCTTCCGTCAACGTACACAGCATCCTGGTATTAGGGCTGATTAACGTGGTTCTAAAATGTACCGCAGTAAGAACACAAAGAGCTTTCCAAGCGCAGGTAGTTAATTCATAACGAGCGGGTTGAAAATAGCAGCAATCCGCGTTCTGATCCGATAGGTCACCATGGTAAATATAGCATAGAATGATCGAGGCGACCCAACCCAGCAGTCACGGTCAAGGAAGATGGCATGGTTCGTTTTTGAGCGTCGGGCCAACCATGTGCTTTTTTGGATCCGCGATTCCGAGGGAGGGACAAACAGCCAGAGGTGTGGGGGGGGGGGGGGGGGGGGGGGGGGGGGGGGAGGTTGTTTCCGCCGTCAGAAAGCTCCGTTGGCAGGTGATGAATGGCTCCCGCGTTTTTTGAAGATGCGCTAAGAGACCTGTCGGATCGCACAGGCCGCCACGCAGATGGGCAGCCGGTTCCGCCGACTCTTTCGGCTGACTGCCGGATGGCAACGTGTTTGGCTCCGGGAGACTGGGACTGTGAAAAAGATGGAGACCACACTGCTGACTCTCTGTCGGCAGCCAGCTGGAGTGACGCGTCCGCCGCTGTCATTTCTGGGAATCGTCTGCGGTTTTAATTAGACTTGGGATGATGAACGCCTTTAGGTATGGAAGGTGTGACACGTCGTGGTGTGTGGAGGAGGAGTGCTCTGTCCTTATTAGCCCTTGTAGGGCTCGGTGCTGGTGTGTGGCTTAATAAGGACGCTGTGCCTGTAATCGGAAGGTCGCCGGTTCAAATCCCAGGCTCAGCAGAGTGATGTCACTCTCGGGCCCTTGAGCGAGGCCCCAATTGCTCCAGGGACTGTCTGATCCTGCTTTCCCATGTTATTTGCTTTAGATAAAAGCACCTGCTAAACCAGTGTGCTTCATTAAATTTTAGACAAGGGCCACACTTACCAGTGGGGAGGGGGGTTGGGGGGGGGGGGCACTATTTGCCTTGATGCTGCTTCACTTGATTGTTAGTTAACTACGTAGCTGCACATGACTGGGGAAGTTGTATTGCATCTAGATTTAAAAAAAAAACTTTACTTTTTTTAAATAATAAAAATTAAAAATGAATAAATCTGATGGTCAGCATAATTTGCTCATGTTTTATTCAGTGACTGGCCTCCACGGCCCGCGCAGTGAAGACCACTGCGCTAAACAAACAACAATGTCACAAAAAAATGTGTCGTGTTCTGTGAGTCATGGTTTGCAGGTCCTTGCTTAAGGTTCTGCTGGCAAGCTTGACTGAAGAGCCGCTGTGATCATGCAGCACTTGGTCGAGGTCGTCACGGAGCCTTCTAGAAAGACGGTCCTTTTCTGTTTCCTCTCTATCTTCACGTTGCCAAACTTGGCAGAGGGGGAGGCTGGCTCTGGAGGGGGGAGGGGGGTGGTCATTTTTGTTTTCTGAGCCCTTACAGTGGTTCTCCGGGCTGTTCCTTGCACGCTGGGCTTTGTTTTTGATTAAAGCTAATCCTCGCGGCTCGGACAAAGAATTTATTTCTCTCGGGGGTTTCAAGGTTTTAAGGGGAGGGATATTGTGGGTAAGACGACGAGATTTTCCTCTGGACGGCTCGCCCATTTAAGCGAGGGGCCCTGATTTGTGGAGTGTGCCATTTATAAAAAACGTGTTGGCACCGTTTTCGTTTGCATCTCATTGTTTTTATGGGTTTCGTTTGCTAGGAAAACAAAACCTACAGCAGAGGAGAGGAAATGCCGGGAGAGGTTTCTGCACTGGGCCGTCGGCTGGTTTGTTGCGTCTGTGTCGGGTCACCCGCCCTTACGGTGACTTGCATAACCTGGCCATCGGTGAAGGCGGGGCTGATCCGGAGGGTTACATGGAAGGAGTCGTGTCTGTACCTCGTCGAGTCAGTGGCTGCGTGGGTCCGTCGCCTCTGTCAAAGCCATCACCGGGAAACCGCTCCCTCTCGCATTGGACGATGTCCTCCATTTTTGTGTTACTAACGCGGAACGCTGCAGCTCCTTACCGATTTCCAGGATTATGTCGGGCACTTTATACCGACAGGCCCAGCAGGTCCTTCCAATCCTTGGCCATACATTCGGATTTGTGTCAGGTTTAGGCCAACATTCCGTCGTTCTCCTGGTAAGTAATGCTGGTGCAGATGGAACAAGCTGTGCAGAGGATGGACAGGTGCAGCGGGTCTAAGAGACACAGAGTTTGCTGACCATTTGTTAAATTTGTACTCGTTCTTGTTTAACCACGGTTACGGTGATGATGTCCTTTTCTTGGACAGGTGGCCGCGGCAGATGGCGTCCTCCAACGGCCTGTGTCGTTATGGAGCCCGCATCGACTGCTGCTGGGGATGGACGCGGCGATCGTGGGGACACTGTCAGCGTGAGTCCTGCTACTGCTCGGCTGGTTGGGTGTTCCTGGGGCTTCCACTCCTCCACTGTGACCTATCAGGAGGCTTCTTCTTTTCAGAGTAACCTATCAGAAAGCTTCTGCTCCTCATAGTGGCCTATCAGGAGGCTTCTTCTCCTCATAGTCACCTATCAGGAGACTTCTAGATGAAGCTGTCACCTCTCGTTGCAGCGTAATGGAAGCTTCTAGATTTCTGCTTCTCTTTTTTGTAGTCTTTGTGGATTTCTGCAGCAGATCGGGGAACCTTTAATGGGACTGTGGAACTGCCAGACAGACAGACAGGAACGCGGATGACACCCATGAAGCTTGACAGTCTATGGGGAGAGACTGATCCTCACGCCATATGGGCGAGAGAGCGAGCGGGCAGGCAGGCGGGCGTCTTTGCGCAGTAGTGCGGCCCGCTGGCAGAACTCTCTGTTTACCGCGCGGGTCCCACCGCCGTACCGTAACACTGAGCTTCATGCGGGGAAGAGAGCCTGACGCACATCTGAAGGAGCGGAAAAAAAAGCAGATCTGTAAGAAAAACTGCCTCTCAGTAAAACTGTCCTGCCGTATAATACCTAACATCAGCCGTTTGATGGATGTGGCCAAGGACTATGAAAATGCCAGTGACTGCACTGTTGTCAGCCGCTCAGCACTTTCCGCTGTATGCAGTGCCGGGCAAACCATTAGGTGATACTGGCGGCCGCTAGTGGGAGTTTTACTTACACAAAAATGCTCTGAGGGCTGAAGGAAAAATGATTGGCTCAGGGAGATAACTAATCAAATTATAGAGGAGGTAGGTCCAAGCAACTAGAGGAGGCGGGACTAAGACATCTGATTGACAATGAGCTGTCTTGGTCCCACCTCCTCTGCAATCTGATTGGTTATCTCTGCGAACCAATCATTGTTCCATCTGCCCTCAGAGCATTTTTGTGCAGGTAAAACTCCCAGAGGCATCTTCCGAGGGGGCGCCAACTTAGCAAGTCAGCTTCAGATAGGGGGGGCCAGTGGTGAAGCTTATATTGGGCACCAGATGGGCCTTGACCCAGGCTATGTATTTATATATAGTAATGGGTGCACATTGACCAAACATCATTTGGTTGATGTTTGGTCATTGTGCAAATGCATAACCCCATGTCGAGCGTGTGGGACGTTCAGTGGCTGCAGGGATGCTGGATGCCATAACTGCTGCACATGTTTGTACTGCTGGTGTGTGTCAACTCCAGGCCGTGGTGAGGACTGCATGGCAGGCTAATCCCGGCTTCGATTTGGCTAACGTTTAGGCTCTCCCGGTTCTCACCGGACGCAGTCACCGGGTAGCATTAAACCCGTCGGTTTCATGTTTCGACGAGTTTAATTCTTTTTTCGTCCTTTATTTCTCTCTTGGCCTTCATCATCAAAGCCTGAAACAGACAGCATCACCGACCCCATCAAAAGTATTTAATTCTCCTCCATTTGGAGATGTCTCTGGGCAGGGCGGAGGTCTGTCATCATCGCTAAAGTGAGATCTGGATGCTTGTGAAGTTGGTGCTTCTTACCGACTGATCGAAGTCTAGCTGTCAGTCAAGCTTGCATCACCGATGCTCCGCATTAGGCTATGTTTACAGGGCTGAAACGGAGGGTCCTCGTTATAGGCGGCCATCACAGATGCCTGACACATTTTCTTTTTTTTAACATTTTAAATGTGACACTGATGCTGGAAAAGGTCCTTTTTAGACAGACCTCCTCTCGGGCCAACGCCAGGGGCACAAAATCATTTCCTATTCTCTTCTCTGGTCAGATATTGTGGGGCTGGCATGCTATAAGGCTCTATCTTGCCCGTAACATTCACTGAGGATTCTTCCACAGTCTTTTCTCCTAGCCTTAGAACACCTTCTTCTATTCCTAACATACCTTCATGTAGACCCAGCAAGCTTGTACGCCTAACACGCTCTCTTGCGGTCCTAGCTAACTGTATCTCTTCCGGCTAATGAAATACTTTTGATGGGATCTGTATCAGATAATCCAAGTCTCTGTTTATTTTCAACATCACAAATAAACACCACAAACGCCATTTGACCCAAAAACGGAAACAGTGTTGGAAAATGAGCCTCAACCACCACTCATTTTATGGAAACAGTATCAGCGAGAGATCTGAGTCTTTTCTGTCCGCAAACCTTGGCCCCTCTGCCGCATCACCAGGACTGTACGCAGCAGAGGGCTGAAAAGCATTGATTACAGTCTTGGCTTTGGCTCTAGATTAGATTGCCGTTATCAGGCTTCTGGCTGCCTGGAGTGCTGAGCCTTCCGGCCAGCCTAAATGACTTCTTGCACGGCGTGTCAAACCTAACAAACCTTTCCCAAATTAAAAACTACAGGAACTGAATTAGCCAAACCATTATTACTCAGGCCTGGATTTACAGCCATTTGTTGCACCACATGGCAATTACAGGGAGAGATGCCATTTGTGCAGCACACCAACGTGGAGCAAAAGAGCCAAATATATCATCTGCGGCCTCCTGAACACCCTAATTAGCATCCTTTAGAGATTCTGGCTCTCGCCTATAGGTTCTAGGCTAAGGAGTAAGAATCAGCCGTCTCTAATGTAGTACAGAGGCAGCCCTGGATAGCCAGAATCACAGACCGGTCCCGTAAATGCAGTGACCGGAATGACAAGATGGATTTGACCAGCGTCACACAGATGCCCGTGAGTTTTCAACTGGAAATAATGAGATCGTGCGAGGTTTAAATCATTCGCTTGGACGTCCGTTTATTTTCATCGACCAGCTTTAGTGGAGAAGCAAAGAAGAAAAATGACCGAGAAGATAGCAGAGTTATCTCCGTTAGACGCTAGGCTGACCTAAATTTTGGGATAAGAGATAAAAAAATATTACATTCTGATACTGTGTCTTTAAATCGTGGTGGCTGTGTTCTCTCATTCAGGGGGAATCTTCCTAATATCCTGGATTATTCTGGCTTGCAGCCTGGGCGTAAAGTTTCTATTTACTGGAAATGCAAGTCCATTATAGTTAATTACAACATATTGTTAATTACTTGACCAAGAATGTGATTTGGAGGCTGGGATTTTCTGAGCGTGCATGTCTCTTGGTTGTGGGCCTCGTTCGTGTCCCGCTAAGACACACTCTTCAGGAGATCCTATGTGGCCTGATGTGATTTTTTATTAAGGAAATCTGGAATTTCAGTGTTTTTGTTTTTTTTTATTGGCCATTTGTTTTTCAGCTCTCTACGTCTTAACACACAGAATAGTCGGGATAAGGTGCCAGCCTCAAGGTCAGAGCAACACATTTCTTTAAATAATCCAGTCCTGCCTTCCTTCGAACACTGGGTTCCCCCGCTTTTGAATATAGACCTCCCTCCTTCTGCAGTAAACATTTGTTTAAGCCCCGCCCCCTTCCTCACCCTTCCCCCGCCCCTCCCCCATTCGTGCTCCAATCACCATCTGACACACCCTTGCACTCCAAGTTGCCACAGGTGGCATCAGCCATATTCAAAATGGTTTATTTTTTAATTAGCTGACCTGTCTTGCTGTCCACATGACCACTGACTCCCCCCCACCTCCCCCCAAAGTTATATATTGAACACCGTGACCAATGAGGTCAGACGCACATTGAGTTCCCATCATCCTTTCTCCTGAACCTGTAATGAACCCAGACTGACGGCTATTTTTAAAAAAGACAGCACTTATTTCTGACAGCGACAATTAATTATCAGGACAGTAAAATTGGAACAAGTTAACAAATTGCCACCCACTATTTTAGAGACGTGTTCCCTGTTGTACGCTAAGGGGGGGGGGGGCTGGAATTGTTCCCAGGTGCTCCTTTCCAGGTTTGACGAGGCCATTGAGGTAAGCAGAGCAGTCCTGCTCACACATGAGCTGCAACGCTAGTGGGGAAAGGGCAGTGAGGTCGTGGGTGTGTGTTTGGGGGGGGCGTATCCAGGAGTCATACATGAATCGCATGCGCCTGAGGCCGATGGGTGTGGGGGGGGGTGTTTTTAGGATGCAAATGAATACAGGGTATTTCCCCCCCTACCTTGCCAGGATTTTTATTAATAGATGTGCCCCCCCTTTGATCCATAAATGGGATGTCATTCTTTTCCTGGGAGCTCAGGCCCTGTCACGTCTAAATACGTGCGCTCTCTCTCTCTCTCTTTCTCTGTCCTTCTCACTCCCTCCCTCTCCCGACGGCATGAGTCATCACCCCGGAAACTGCCTGACCAAGTTTCCGGGTTTGTTACGTTAGTTCGTTAGTTAGTTAGTTAGTTAGTTAGTTAGCACTAACGTTAATTACGTCCTTAATAGCTGACCTTAAAAAAATTGTGTTGGACTTTGTCAGTTTTATAAAAGTCAAGAATGATTAATGTGTGGTCATTAATGTGTGGTCCAAAGTTTTTATTGACAGCTAATTCCTCCAGTCATAAACCAGCCTAAAGAGTCACACCACCACCACCTCCCTCCCCACCAGTGAGCCCCATCCCACACACTCCAGCACTAGAGGGGGCCCTGCAATGAGCACATCTATACACAGGAGGCGCTGTGTCACCCTCCCCAGATGGGGGGGCGGGGCGACAGGCTCCTTTTTTTCCCACATGCAGCTGATGGGGAATATAAATTGTGGGGCTCGTCTGGTACCACAGCAGACTTAATGAAGCTTTTAAAGGTAATTAGTGACACTTGGCTGAAAATCATAGATCAGCGAGGCTGAGCACAAGGAGGCGGGGGAGGGGGGGTGTAAATACTCAAACCCCCCATTTTCTCATATACACCATTACACGTACCGAGATGTCAGTTTGTCTCACCACACTGGTTGACCTCTGACCTCTCGGAGGTCAAAGGTCACATTTCCACTCTTTGTCCGCCTGTTGGTAAATCTAGACACACCCCCATGCAGCGGGTATTAAGTCTTGCCTAAAGATGAGGCGTGGAGGGGGGGGGGGGTTCCCAGAGTGTTACAGGTGTCCCCTGGCAGCCCCACGTATCAGATTACAGTCCCAGGAGTCCGCTGGCTTTCTTCGAGAATTAGAATTGTATTATTTTATAAAAGTGTAAATAAAAACTGAAGCAGGTCTGTAGGACAGTTGTCTCTCCACAGGTGTGAGGAAGACACCCCCACAGGGCTATTTTGGGGGGGGGGCAGAGGTAAATGCCATGATAATGAATGGAGGATGGGTTTCCAGCCCCCTGGCGGGTCCATTGCTCATGCCGTCCTCTCTCTCCCTGTCTCTGACCCCCCCCC